GTGCCTTTTGCATAAGCTGCTGCAGCAGTGTTTTCCCAGAGCCTGCGGGTCAGCTTTCCCTCGCTGCCGTGCTGTTGTTGTGTTGCTGTCAGTGGGGTATCCCAGGCCCAGGCCCAGGCAAGGCCCATCTGCTTGTGAGTCAGCAGCTTGCAGCAACAGTGGGTGTCGCAGTTTGCTTGTATTCCCCTGTTCTCGTCCGTAACGAAGGGTTTGCTGCTTCTTGCTCTCCTGCGATCGCCCCAGCAGTCTAGCCTCTAGTTGGGAAGCTGAACTGGTGACTCGTATCCCAATGAAACGACAGTGATCATAAAGGCACGTTGGGTCACTGCCTTACACGGCAATGCCCCTCGGAAGTGTTTGAGCCCACCAAAATTGGTGTGGTACCACCAGCAAGTGAACAGTGGAGTGACCAAGAGCTTGTTTATCCCAGTGTGGCCTGCTGGCCAGCGTGGCGAGCTCCTCTGCAGGTGTTATTTGGGAACCTGTGCTGTGTGGTGGGAGTTTGGGAGGAAGGTGCTTGCAAGCCAGGGTAGAGAAGAAGAAACCGTTTGTGCAGCGGTGCGGGAGGTGGCCGAGGAGGTGGAGTTAGGCTGCACGTGCTGCACCTCTGGGAGCTGCTGCTGCTGCCGTTGGGTGGTAAAGGGCAGCCTGACCACGGGTTCCAGCTGAGACGTGAGCTGTTGTGGCACCTCACAGGTGCACGGCTTTTCCGAGAGTGTGAGGAGAGCTGGGTGTCCTGTCTCTTTGCCTGCTGCAGCGCGGCAGTGGAGATGGCGGTTTGTGAGTCCTTGGGTGCGAGCCACGATACTGTAGCAAAAAGACCCACGAGAGTGGCTGAGAGCATCCTTCTGAAGTGTCTTGTGGACAAGCCTGGGCTCCCTGGAGGGAGTCATGTGCTGTGCTTGAAGTCTCTTTGGGTTGGGCAGAGGAGAGCGCTACTCACGGCTACGTCTGCAAACTCTTTAGGAAAGCCCAAAGGAACTTTGCGACAGCCCAGGCCCTTGAGCATGCCAGAAGAAGGCAGCAAGAGGCCTGTTCCTCGCCCGCCACGAGGCAGAGGAGTGGCGTGCGGCGTGGTGAAACCCACTCTGGAGAGTGCCCGGTCTGCCTTGCCTCCAGCCGCTGGGAGTGGACCATCTAAAGAAATGCCCATGCAGAGGCACGTCACTGTGGTAAACAGGTCAGTGTGTGCACGTGTGTGTGTGCGCGCGCGTGTGTGAGCGAGGTGCGAGGAAATGTGCTGGACCCTTGGATGCTGCCATGCCAGCTGTGCGTTTTGGATGTTGGAGTCTGGGCTCCCGCCCTTGCAGAAGGTGAAGTTTGAATGTGGGTCGGTACCCAGGAGGATGACGGGTGACTCTCTGCCTTTTTGGCTGCTGCCACAGCTCCCCCGTGCTCTTGGCCTGCTGCCATGTCTTCTGGGGAGAAACCTGGCCAAAGGTGTCATAGCAAGGGTGCGCGGGGCTGTCGCAGTTTCCCGTTGCGACCAGTGCGATAGAAAGCAGAAGGATGTTTGTGTGTAGGTGACAGGCGACGCTGCATGTTCAGGGTGATGGTTGTCCGCAGGTGGCTGCTCTTTACTTCTTGGCTGACTTCTCCGTTGCAGCATTGGTGTTTGTGGCCCTTCTTGGCGTGCTCGGACCCAGCAGCTGCCCGACCGCGTTTGGGTGAACTGAGATGAGGGCTGGAGCTGCAGTTTTGCTGGGTTAGCGGTACATGCTGGTTTTGCAGTACACGCTGGTTTTCAGCCCCCTTTGAGCCTCTCTAATCCGGGTGGCTTAGCCAACTGCTGCCCCATCATTTCTCTTTCTGTGTTGTTTTCGGCCGCCCTGGGCCGTCAGCTGATGGTGGCGAGAAAGTGTTTGCTGTTCCCTCATTGTGGCTGCGCTAAGTCCGCTGGAGCTGTGATTGTGGTGGTAATCCTCTGCAGGTCACCGGGATGGGTTCGAAGCCTTGCATTGAATGGAAATGGCAGCGGTGGGCCGCTTGCACGGCGGCGTAGCTGTGAAGTGGCACGGAGCAGAGTGACAGCTTAATCCTGCCGTGGTGCCTGCTCTTTCTGGAAGACCCACAGAAAGCAGGCGCATCCTGCCCCTGTCGCCTGCCTGAGTCCCGTGTGCGTCAGGGGTCTGGGTGCCAGAGGGGGAGCTGAGGATGCGCTCAGAGCCCTCGTGAGAGCAGCAGCTGCTTCAGCTTTTGTGCCTGAGAGCGTAGCATTTTTCTGACGGCTGACAGGACTGCCTCGTAACCTTCCCGCTGCTCCGCAAAGGGCCCTTTGCGATGGCAGCGCTCTGCTGGTCGTGCTTTCTGGGAAGTTCCCTGGCGTGGCGGTGCTGGTGGAGCGGGCAGGTGCCCTGGGGAGGGGGAGTCGTCCCTGGGGCTGGCGGGTGGATCTGCTGGGGCTTTGCTCTGGGGCAGGGCTCCTGTCGAGGGCAGGAGATGCTCCTTGTGTCCGTGGGCAGTCGGGCTGTGGCTGTAGCAGCAGCTGTTTGGACATGGCCAGGCAGAAATTTGGAGGGGTTAGGAGGTGGGGGGTGGTGGCAGCAGGAGCCGGAGGCTGTGAAGCTGAGGTGGGGGAGAGGAGAGCAGTGGCGGGAGCAGTGAGGAAGCCGGAGGAGCTGTCAGCGGCCGTGTGAGGAGCGGAGGGTTTGGAGGTAGAGGCCAGGGAAGAGAGACGTGCTGCATGCAGCAGGGGAGGGGATTGAGGCCGGGGCCCCGACAGGAGCGGGGAGGCTCGAGATGGTCCTGTCTGTCTGCGCCACAGCCCCTAAAGGCATGAGTGTGGACGGAGCTAACCCCTGTTCTCCGCTCCTGAGTGAGCTGGGTGGAGCTGCAGTGGAGAAACGTGTCACCAGCTCTGCTCCCTGTTTTGTTGAGGAGGCTGCTGCGCAGAGGAGGGAAAAGCCAAGTCATCCTGCTGTGAGAGAGATGTGAGAGTGATTCCCTTTTCTGTGTGTGCAGATGAATTCGATTTTTTTAAGTGGCACTTCCCTAAAAGGCAGAAATCCTTTGTCCCAGGACAGGCAGAGCAAAAAGAGCACTTACAGTTCTCTCCAGATTCGTCGCTGGAAAGCCAGAAGGTGTTTTGTAGTACTTGAAGCTTTGTAATGCCTGAAATAAAATTAGGTAGATTTCATCCCTGTTCTGGCTCTTCTAACGGAGTGTGCTCCATCTTGTGTTGTCATCTTTGTTCCTCTCTGGCAGGTTCCCCTGAGCTCCTTTCTGGTAAGAGTGTTCTGCTTTTGTTTCTGGTGTCTGTTCCTGCCCTGCTCAGGAGGAGAAGCTACAGGTGAAGTGTGCTTTGGCCCAGGTAGTTCTGGAGGTGAAGACATCTTGTGCTGTGGCAAAGGGTCCAATGCTGTCCTGTTAGCTTGGGGACATAGTAGAGGGAGGGTTCATGGAGAAGAGGATCATATTCTGTTTTAATGCAAGGTTGTGTAGTGGCCCATATGACTGGATTAATTTGTTTCAACTTGGCCAGTTTGAAGCAAGACCGGCAGGATCCACGTCTGATGTCCTTACTGCTGGGGATGTTTTGTGCCCCCAGAGCTGCTACTGTGGTTGCTTGTGCTTTGGGAATTGCAGGAGGGAAAGCTGCTTTGAGCCAGGAGGTCCTGACCTCAAAACAGTGTGCAAGCGAGCCGACGTGTGAGCAGCATCCCCAGAAATCCTGGGCTCACACCAGTGTCATAGGTAGCCGGCACAGACTCAGAGGCACTATTCCAGCAGGAGTGCCAGCACTTGCCTGTGAGAGCGGCTGAGCATTCACAGCACAGGTTGGCTGACAGAAGTCCTGAAGGTGACCGATTTTGTCTCTGCCCCATTTCCCAGTCTGGGATGAGGCGCTGTCTGCGTGCAGTTTCTGTGGGTGTGTTTTCTGACACCTGCCCTGCCCGTCCATTTACCGAAGTCATAGCAAAGCACATCCATGCTCTCAGGGTTGCACTTAAGACCCTTTTGATTTCTCCTCCTCTGTTGAACATCTGTCCTGCTATGGCAGATCTGTGTTACTTGCCTTGGCAGGATGTCCTCCCAGTGGCAGGCTTTGTCTGGGTGCTCACTGGTCTTGGTGCTTCACCCAGCATCGTGTAGTGAAGCCCCACAGTGAGGCTGCAAGTGGCAGTTCTCTTGTGGCTGCCAAAGTCTGTGTCCCACCTCTCTAGCGCTCTGTGGTGTTTTGCTGAGAGATTTTCATGACCACAGCTTCTGGGGCTTGCCACTGCATAGTCTTGAGTGGAAGGGGAACATGCTGTTTCTCCTCCCCATTCTGCCACACCAAGATGACAAGGGGGAGATGCTGAAGGCAGCTGCAGTTGTGCCAGCTTGTTTCCTGCTGCCCTCCCAGGCCTTCTTGCAGGCACTGTTGCAGGGTCTGAGAGGCTGTCTTTATATCAGCAGCCACTCGGTAAGTTCATGTCATGAGCATGTTGCTGTGGACCCGCAAACCCACAGAAGGTGGGAGAGACCTTGCTTGTAAGGCTAACTGCAGAGATCCTTGAAGCTGGAAAGCAATGGCACAAATGAGAACAGGTTGAGATTCTTGGTGACCCCCTTGCTTGGACCAGCAGGCAGCATTTGCTGCTGGCCACCACCTGGTCCCGCTGCTGAAATAGCACTGTCCAAGGGCCAAAGAGCAGAGTTGGATGGCATGGGCCTTACCAAGGTAAGGTGATAGGCAGGGAAGGGCATGCCTTCCCTTCACTCTGAGATAGTGGTCTGTGAGAGTGAAACCTAATGGGCTGCTCAGCTACAGCTACACGTGGGGGCTTGGCGGGGCTGCAAGGCTGGTCAGGCATTTGTGAAGGGCCAGGCTGCTGATGTGTTCTCTTACTGCTGGTGTGGCTAGGAGGCCTCTTGCTGGGAGCGAGTTTCTAGCAGCTGAGGAACATGAGGCCTTGCAGGCAACGGAGTTGTCCATACCTGCATGCTGGGGAGAAGTGTGTTGGCCCTGCCGCTGTCTGGCTGTGTTCTATCCCATCTTTGGAGAGATAAGACCACCATGGTCTGGTGAACAAGCAGCACATCACAGGAGCCTTGTCTGATTGCAGGGCTCGAAACTGGTGATAGCTGGGCTCAAAGCTGATGTTAACACCACTTTGTTCCATGGGAAGCTGTTGAACGACAGCAGGAAGCACAGGAAGATACCACATGAAGTCTCAATACTGAGAGATCCCAAATCCAATTTGCTTTCACATGCAACATAAGGGAATCATCAGTCCTCTGTTCCGGGTTCTTTTCCAAGGTGTTCCAGATGGCATGGCTCGGGAGGGAAACATCTGACTCTTCCTCACTGAAACCTTGCCGCACCTCCTGCTGGCTTACCCTGCACTCATGTCACCCATGTCACCTGATGTGTGGCTTAAGGCGGTAGAAATGGTGTGTGGCACTGAGGACTAGAACACAGCTATGGATTCCTACTGGGAAGCAGCAGTAGCAGGACAGTCTCCATTACCCATGTGGCTAGCTCATGGGCTTGTTTTGCTTGCTGCCTAGCAATGGTGGTAGCCTCTTTTAAGTCTGTCCAGCTTGGAGTTGTCCATACTGGTAAATATATGTATAGAGAGGTGGGATCCTGGGTTTCTTGTAGGGTTTGCATGGTCAGTCACAGCACACCTTCTAAGAAGAGACTGTGTTACTGCTTTGTGTGGAGGTCTGAGCTGTGCCCAGAAGGCAGAGGGTTTTCCTGTGATGCAGGTGGAGTCTTGGAATTGTCTTTTCAGATACTCAACAAGTGCAAGGTGTGAATGTGTGTTTGGGTTTTGTGTAGGTGACTTTGCCTTTGTACTTTTTGAATCTCGTCCCACTTGTGTTTCACAAATGTGCTTGTAGTTGATCTGCTGCTCAGCACTTCTGGATATACCTCTCCTGCTTTGGAAAATGCTGTGCTGGGCAGTGGCTGTCCTCACTGCTAGTGCTGTGGGATGTGACCCAGAACAGAAGTATTATTTTTGGTACAAATGACACCCCGTAGCTGATGGAGGAGCAGTAGTTTCATCTTACAGGGACAGCAAAAAAGTGAGGGAGACAAGTTCATGTTAAATCCTGTAAGATGCTGCTTAGAAGAGGTGTGAATGTGGGAGGCCTCTTTCTGATTTGTGGATCTGCTCCAATTAAAGGTCAGTGTGAAGGCACATAGGGCTACCCTAATACTGTGCTAGTCTCAACTTCCTGTTGCTACTAGCCTCAGCATCATACTTGACCCCTGTCCTACCTTCTGAGAGCCCAAGTGAAGCTGGGAAAATCCCCCTTGGTGTTTCTGTGGCTGGTGAAGTTTGTGGTTTCCTCCAGAGTTGTCCCTGAACTCCAGAGGTGGCCAGTCTCCTTATTGGCCCTTGGGCAGAGACCATCTGCGGAGCCTGCTCAGTGCATGTGTGGTGGCTGCTGTGGTCTGGAGGTGCCTGGTGTTCACAGCAACCTGCCATGCTTCTGTGGAGAGCTGTTTTGGTGCATTTGCCACCCTGACTTCACCACTGCAGTTCTTCCTTGGGTATGTGTCTTTGGGAAGTGCTTAGTCCTGGTCTTTGAACACTTTTCTCCAACTGTTGTTTGCTTTTGTTTGCAGTGTATGTAATTATTCCACAGCTGGTTGTTTCCAAAACAGTCTTAGTGAGCTACACACTGCTGTGACCTCTTCACTGTCAGGAGCTCATTGTGCTGCATGTGCTCCCAGTATAAGCTGCTGCGCTCTGAGGGACCTCAAAAGAACATGACATTTGTGTCCTTTCTGTGGGAGAGCACTTCAGAGAGGAGTCTGTTTAATGGTGTAGCAACAGCATCCACAAAAAGACCTTGAGTTCCTGTGTAGTTTTAGGTGTTCCCCTGACTTCTGAAGCCAAATGCTTTCAGGAGACTCTGACGTGGCTACCAAGAAGGTGAGCGTAATCATGTTCAACAGCAAGACCTTGTTACCTTGCAGATAAAAGACCAAATAGTGAGGCTGAACGCATCAAATGTAAGGCCATCAACTGTGTTATTAGGCCCAGATGCTTTCCTTTTGCTAGTGTCTTTTCACTGTGAGTTTTGTTTCTCATAATAATCAGGATAATAAGAAAAAACTAGAAACTACCTGTTGGTCTGTCTTGTTACTGCTGATCAGGTTGTCTTCCAAGCCAGGACATTGTGAGTACTGATCTTGTGCAGGGGACCTCCTAGAAGTATGTGAAACACATTTTATTTTTTGTATAGGTCTTATAAGCAAATTGAATGCTATTCAGAGCCAGGAGAACGATTTAAAGCAATTTGCTTTTCAATTTTAGGCCTGAGAAGAGACTAACTGTCCCACCACGGTTTCAAAAGGAGTTACAAGTTCACTTGTCCAGAAGCCCTTCCATAGATTCCAATGGTATGTTTACCTATTAAGAAAATTTTTTTGCCTACTCACATTAGATTGCGTGTCATCTTAAGAAAAATCCATCTTAGTACTTGTTTTGAATGAAGATAGGTTTGTGTGAGAAACCAAGTTCTGTGAGTGAACCTTCTCACTCTGATTTCATGGTCCTGGGGAAATGTGTGTGTTTACTTGCCTGCCTCTCTGTCTTCTAGGAAAATCCTTGTCAAAGCCAATCACAAAGCTAGTCTGAGTAGCTTGGAAACAGGACGAGTATGCTTAACTTCACAGCCAGGGTAGGGATCTGGTACAGGAGAGTGAAATCCTGGCTTTCAGGAGTAAGCATCACACTAACCTAGCTGTCCAGAAAATACACTTCTGCATGCGTGGCTCCCAGCAGTTGTGCAGTTGATAGGCTTGTCACATGACGGTTGCTTTCTTTGAGACCTGTCAGGCTGATTTCTGAAGCTTCAGGTCTGGTAGGAAATACACCCCTCCGAAGGGAGGAGAGGAGTAGAGATGAGGGAGCAGGCAAGCTAGTGATGTGAACCTCCTGCTAGGATAATGAC